CAGACTTCCTTTGACACGATCTGCCGAGATCATAGCTGTTAACCGCAATCCACGTTACCTTCCTATCTTCTCATGGCTCGTTGATATTCCTTGATTCTACTACCCTTCAAATAATTTTGTTTTTTTACAGATCTTCACTCCAACACATCGACACTTTTCATTCGTCATTTGATCCATAATTCCTCAGGCGATACAGTTCTAGATCCAGACTAGGACTTCACTTTTGCTCACCCCATACTAATCTCTGAATCAAGCTCTTTCCACACAGATCTTCCTTCAACATGTCATCATATACAAAGTCACGCAAACCCCGTCCTCCGATCTGCAACCCCCTTGCAGATCCGTCAACTTTCAACCACACCGATGACCAACTCACCAGCGTGGATCCAGATCTCACGGTTCCTCGTGATACTACATCAGACCAAAACGGTTGCGATTAGTGCGATCCCGCAAGAACTCATAGAGAAGAGCACCACAGTTGAGATCGGCTTCATCCATCAAAGTTGGATCTTCATATCCACCCCAATGTACCGGAAATTCTCGATAGATCCGTCCATATCTAGTCCTCTTGCCAGTTCTCATATCGGAAATCCGATCCACTTCGTATTCATCTCGGTCTCGATCCTGGATTCAACTATCTTCGGGTAAGAGAGCTTCATCAAAGTCCACCCGATCTCCATCCAGCTCCTCTAGCCGAGCTACCGGTCGAACTGGAAATATCTTGACCAGTTTGATCTTCGAGACATGTGAAACCGGGAAGATGCTATACGTTGATCCTGCGATCGCCAACCTCACTGCATATCCCCCGATCTTCTCAGCGACGCGAAATGGCCCATGCCATAAGTGCGCCAGATTCTTCGCATATCTTTCACGCACTCGATCTAAGTACAACCATACTCTTGATCCAGCCTCCACAGGGTGTGGACGTACCAGATCATTGTGCGTGTCGGCTCGATCCGCGATTGCTTCTGCATAAACGTTGATTAACTGGTTCTCGAGCCTGTTGGTAATACTTTTGCATCCGATATCGCCCCTTTTTGGATCTCGATCATGCTTGCGAGTGCTCCCCACCGGGATCACCGCCTCCAGAGTAGATCTAGGATCCCAACCATGTATCATGTAGAAAGGGGTTTCACCTTGGATCCGATCCCTTGTGGTGTTGATCGCGAAGATGAGCCGTTCGGCGTATTCATCCCAATCACGTTGATCCAGATCCTGCACATACATCTTAAGAGCCCTGGTGGCTGTCTGGACCATACGCTCTGCGGATCCATTATCTTGGGGTCGATAAGCCATAGTAACACGTTGGTGTTGATCCAAGATCTTGTTGAAGGACTTAAAGAAGTCAGACATAAAACATGTCTCTCGATCATGCCGGATCACCTCGTTTGCACCAAATGTGCGGAAAACGCATTCTTCGTAAGTCTCAGCGATCGTTTGTGCAGATCTAGAGGCGCTGGCCTTGGCGATCACATATCCAGAAAATAGATCCAGGAAGATCAGCAGCTCTGTGTTGCCATTGAAAGATCTGGGCAGCGAATGTATGTGACCATGGCAATGATCTGGAATGGGTATGTTGCATGAAGGTTACCAGGTGACTCACCTGGATCCGAGGTCGTCCTTTGCCTGTTTCACAATCAACACATTCTCCCATATATCGCTGTACGCTTTTTTACAACCCTCTCTAGTGAAAGTGACCGCGGATCCGATCATAGGTCCGGCCAATTCCTTGATGGCCACCCTACAGGCTCGTATGATAATGATGCAAAATATCTTGCTGAAGCGTCTCCGGCATCACCAATCGCATCAGCTTGTCTCGATCTGCAGCGGCCTCCTTAGTTGTCGGGCAGTAGAAGAGTAGATCTAACTGATCCACTTCATAGTTCATGGCGATAGATCCAAACAACTTAGCATCTTCTTGTGTCAGATCTCGGATCTCTCCAACCAAATACTTCATCAGCCCTGATATCCACGACTCCTCATCTTGTGCTTGCCGGATCCGCTCGATCCGCAG